GAAATGGCAAGGCTTCTTTGCAAACCAGAAATATTAAAGACAAAACTATTAAAATCATCTGTTAATGGACACATGTGGATTATATTCCTTTGCTATCATAATGTAGTGAGGAACATAGGAGAGCAGAACTCTTTATGGTCTTGATTTCTTCTGTATATTTACACACACACACACACACATATATACATATGTGAGCATGTATGTATCTCAAATGGGGACTATTAAAATATAAGGTGGTTTGGATATTTTGTGCTTCTAGATGATTCATATTTTTCATTGCACTGACTTTTCATCTTCACTGGGTTGTTTTGTTTTTTGTTTTTTTTGTTTGTTTGTTTTTTGCTATCGGAGCCTCACAGTTTGGTGCAATCCCTGCTGCTTATTTTTGCTTGTGTGTGGAGTGGAACAACCAATCTGTTGCAAAGCAGCTCAATTTCAAGAAACTTTATATTTTCTTCTGAAACTATTAGTTTTGAGTCTCTTCCATTTTGAGTTGATTTCTGTAAATACCTAATTTCATTTTGTATCTCAGTTTAATACAGCTTGCCAAACTCTAACTTTCAAAGGGCCGAGTCTCCATTTGAATTCTTGACATCTTTGCTGAAAGCTAACCAGTTCTGTGCGGTTTGCTTCTGAGCTCTTTGCTCTGTTCTATTTGTCATTGTGTTTGATTTTGTGCCAGTGCGTGTTGTACTACAGCTTTCAAATGTAATTCAAAATCTGAATGTGTAAGTACTTCCAGCTTTCTTCTGGGTCAACTGCTTTGGCTATTTGAGGACTTTAATGGTTCCATATGAAAACTATATTTACACATTGCCATTAGGATTCTGAGGAAACCTGTCTTGACTACAGAGATTGCTTAGGGTGGTAAAGACATTTAACAATGTAAATTCTTCCAAACCCTAAATTTATATCTTTGGATCCTCATCTATAAATTTATCAATGATCCATAGTTTTCATCTCTTTAATTTCTGCATATTTTATTCTTGTTACAAATATAAATATTGCTTTTTAAATTTTCCTATTAGTTATGTCATTGTGGTGTCTGAAATGACAGATTTTTGTACATTGATTTTGCAACTTCATTGAACTTAATAGACCTCTCTACCAGTTTCTGAATAGATCTTTATGATTTCCCATCTATGGAATCGTGTCATCTCAAACTTAATTTTACATTTCACTCTCATTGGACACTGTTGTAAAAGACGATTAATATTTACTATTGATATATCTTCTGGTAATCCTGCTGTTAGTCCTAAACAGCTGTATACCCAAATCACCACACAGAGACTGGGTTTATTTAGTTAACCTAGAACACAATACTGGGCAGTAGTTACTCCCTCCTAAACCTCAAAGCCCTCATAGTTTCCTAACATTTAGATTTCCCACATTATACTTGCTTTTAGTGATATCTTAGGTCCAGTCTATCTCTCCACTCTGTTCCAAGATCTCTCCTCCAGCTCTCTTCCTAGCACTCCTCTGCCCCTTCTCCCACTCATTTCCTGCCCTCTGGCTCCTCCCCTCTTTCCTGTCCTCTGGCTCCTCCCTTTGCACAACATTGCGGCTAGTTGTTTTATTTTGGCCTGTTTACACACAGTTGAGACAGGATGCTTAGAGTAAGTATCATAATGCAATATTCAGATTTAAACCAGAGGGGGTGGGCAGAAATCAGCATTCGAATAAACAAGGGTAAGGTGTATACATTTCAAAAGAACATTATACCAACAGGACACCTTTAAATCTTCACCAGGACTTTCAGGACCAGGCTGATCCTAACAGCCTGGGCAGCAGGAAGTGGTTACTGTTCACATACAAGGCTTGTTTCTGGGGCTGATAAAATGTCTGAATTTAGTGGTTACAGTTGTACAGCTCAGCAAACAGCGTAAAGACTACTGAACTTTATTTTTCAATAGGCTGTATCTGAATAAAGCTATTATTAACAATTAAGTACATTACCGAGCCTCTGTATTTACTCCTGGTTTTTAATCTCTGAAGTCACACTGCAACCCTCTTGCTGGGATTACCTGGACATTCACATTAGGCCATTACACAACTACAGAAAGCTGAAGACCATTTCAAATTGAGGCCTTTATCACCACATATGTCTAAAAATCAAACGTGAGTAATAATAAATGACTTGAAAATATAACTAATAGAACCAGGGACTTTATTTCTTCATTGACTATTATTGACTATCATTTTCTCTCCTAACTTCCCTAAGTTTTTGTTATTCTTATGAAACAGGATCTCACTCTCTTTCCCAGACTGGCCTCAAACTCAGTGATCCTCCTATCTCTGCCTCCAAACCTTTTAAATTTAAATAGAAAAAAAAAAAAACATTAAAAAGAAAAGTCTGTTTTTCTTTCAGATTAAGTCTAATGATTATTTAGATTTATAAGAAATACAGTAAATTCCTGTAAATGATAAAATACTATTAGTCCTTAAAGGCATTCTCTATACACATGATACAGCTTATGAACCCACAGCAATGGAGTAATGAACTCTTTTTCCCCAGGGAACAGGAGACAGCAGACAAACAATCAGCAAAGATGCTATATACCTAGGAATTAGCTCTCTTTCATAGAGATGCAAAATTCAACCCGGTAGCAAATGCCTTCCAGAATGCCACCTTTGGTGGTTCTTGTCACAGCTGCAGCAAGGGCTTATTCCAGCATTTTTGTGAAAATGGAACTTTTTAATGGATCTTTCTTTTTTCTTTTTGAGACAAAGCCTCACGGTGTAGTCCTGGATGACCTGGCACTCATGATATAGACCAGGCTGGCCTTGAACTTACAGCAATCTTCTTGCCTCTGTCTACTAAGTGCTGGGTTCATACATGTGTCACAAGGCTTGGCCAAAAAGTAATTTAAAATGGATTAATTTTTAGTTTTTTTTTCCTAAGTTAAAATACACCAATTTCCACTCAGGATATGGATTGCATGTGTACATGTCTGTGTGTGTGTTTGTTCATGTGTGTCAAAGCCAGAGGCCACCATTCATTATGCTTCCTCCATAGTTACTATCCAGCTTCTCTTTGGGGCCATGGAGTTTTGCTGCACCTAGAGCTCAGATTCAGCTGCGCTAGCTGCCCAGTAAGCTTGAGGGAGTCTTCCCTCTGCAGCACCGGGATTATGGAGGGGCACGCTGCTCTCAGCTCTTCCGTGGAGGCTGGGGATCTGAACTCTGCCCTCCTGCCCATGCGCAAGCACTCTATCAACTGTTAATCTTTGGAAACATATTGAACACATCAATAGAATCTAACCTGTGTCAGGGAACTCAGTGCTTTCACAGTGCAACACTTTGTTGGCCCATGGGAAGACATATCTGAGGATGCCATTTGTGAGTGTGCAATAGAACAGCAGTAGGAATGGTGGTTACAATAACAAATGTTCTTAGGTGAGAAGATTCGGAGATAAGGCGCTCAAGGTTTAAGGGACATCAATTGTGCATAAGAATTTCTGCTAGATACGAGAGTACACCGTGATCACTAAGGCTTCTAAGTGTGCAAGGCTCCCTGTGGCTGTGGGAACCTAGGCCAAGGGCCAGTTTACAAGTGATTTTCCCACATCTGCAGCACTCTCCATGCCTAGCATTCTACCGAAGGCTCTCTGAGTGTGTGAGTACGTGTGTGCGTGTGAACATGAGATATATGTTCCCATACCCACTTCATAGAATATTCGTTCTCATCCACAAGACATGGTTTGGGGAATACTCCACACTCTCCCTGTGGCAGCTGAGGAAAGTAAGCACAGAATTCAAGAGATTCAGCTAGAAGATGGCAGGGATGAGATGGAAGCCTGGACACACTCTCTTACCCAGGGTGGTTTTGATATATTACACATCGCCAAACTGAAACGTGTTGATTCATTTCAGAGTTCTATTATGACATTTCATAAAGGTATGTCATACTTTAATCTCAGGTTGAAATGGATTATGAGTCAAAGTTTTTTCTTTAGTTTTAAAAAAAAAAAACAAAAAACAAAAGGCAGAGTCAAGGAGAAAATTCCCTTGTTGTCAGCTCCTCCAGCTTCCAGCAGCTTCATCTCTTCTCACACCCACTCTAACCCCTACACTCTGGTACAATTGTGATCATTTTCTTTGTACTTTCAAAGTGTCACTGGCTTCATGACAGTGGCTAGTAGGAGGAGACACGTCTTTTCAATCCACCACTAGGTTTATGTCTCTAACTGAAAGACAGCTGCTGAGTAATTTTCATCCCTCCATGATGCCTTTAATGTGTGGATGCTAGTGGCCTGGGTCATGTGATACCTATGAAAATACCAGAGGTAAAATTACATTGATTCTTTTATTTTCATTTATTTATTTAGAGTTTCTACATGCTTACTAACACAGGATGCTTTATTTATTCTGTTTGCATCAAACTGTATTTCCCTAGAAGAAAATATTGCAAATAATCCAACACTAAAATATTAGCTACTTTTGGGATCATTCATGGACTCTGCTAGTGAACTAACCTAGCTGTCAGACATTCAGATAACTCAGCTAGGCTTCCAGAGAAGCAGTGAATGTGTGTGTAAGCTTTACAAAGAAAGCTAGTTTTTGGAACCTAAAAAATACAATAGCCTCTTCTAAGGGGAAAAAGATAGATAATATAGGTTAAAACAGGTTTAAATTCTTGAAAATCATTTCTGCAGAGAACATCATTTGCTCGTTACTGAGAACAGGAAGCTGATATTAATTATTACCCAGAAAAGATAACCAGCCAAGCAGGTAAAAAGGAAGTTAAAAGGGAATAAAAATGGAAGAACACTCTAGAAAGAACCCATTCACAGTTTGCTGATGGTGGTAGGGGAACATGTGGCAGGAGAGCCTTGTCACAAATTGGAGGGTGTGACTGAATTGAAGAGTGTTGATATTGGAAACAGCACATTCTTCTGTAATAAAGGCTTGACTGATAATTTACCACTTGAAGGATTATGCTGGGTTCTAGTCTGTTACTCAGTGAACACCTGTTTTAAAGAAAGGCATACAAATACAGATCACATCAAACGCTTTCATTGAGAAGTTGACACGGATTCTCATACAGGTGGTAGCCGATGGTCTCAGAAGCTTTCCTGTGTATGAGAAGTAGAACTACAGGCCTTCTTGTACAAGCTCCTGTACATCTTGTCCATGCTGTTCTCAAAGACAGGGCGGTGGGATTTCCCCTTGTAAGAGGATGTTCTGTTGGACCAGTATTCAGTGTCATCCAAATGGAGAGAGCCATGTGGTCGCTGGTAGGAGCTATGAGAAAAGAAAGGTTAAATAAAGGTGAAACGAAGTTAGAGGTACTACTATGAGTTCAGATATTTACTGAGTACTTTATTTGTGTGGATACTCTGCTGGGACTGGGAGAAATAAAACACATTGAGGCTTTTGCCTTTCAAGACTGACTGTCTATTAGGGAAAGCTAAACTGTTCATATGAAACCATGAAGAAGAAAATAAAATAAAAAACTGATTAGAACGAAAAATAAAGTAAAACAGCACAGAACTCAGGCATAGTGGCACACACTTTAAATACCAGAACAGGCAGATCTCTGTAAATTTTAGGCCAGCCTGGTCTATATAATAAGATCTTGTAGGAAAACAAAACAAAACAAACAAACAAACAAAACAGCACAGACACTGTGATACAGGCAGTCTGAGAACAGAGCCATTGTAAGCTCTGGAACACTGGCTAATTAACTTTTTAGTTCCATGCCTTAATTATATTTTTATATAACTATACAATTCAAGAGAATAGCTTTAAAGTACATGGTACAGTATTTGGGACAAAGAAATTATTATGATGCTACCTAAACTTATCAGCAATCTCCCAACATTTAGAAGTAGGCAGAAATAGTGAGAAATTAATATTTAGTAAAAGCCAAGCCTAGTGGTTCATGTGTGCAATTGCAATGACTTGGAGATAGAAAATTGGGCCAAAACCCCACCTCACTTGTAAAAATATATTTTTCCATAATATCTTTACATAAATATTTTCAAATACATAAAACATATTTTCAAATCAAATAACACACACACACACACACACACACCACGCCAGGCATCTTCCTACAAGCTTTTGAGTTATTGGCCACGGAGGTCTCAGAGGCACCTACAACAAAAGAGGCCATTGTTCTTGGATGCCATCATAACAAGATGCTAAGATTCTGGGTATCAGTAAACCCACCTCAGCTGACTAGGAACAAGTTTTAAACATTTACATCTTTTTAAGTTTGAATTTCTTATTTAATTATTTTTATTTTTATTAATTACAGTTTATCCACTTTGTATCCCCCCTGCACCTCCCTCCGTCCTCCCCTCTCAATCCCACTCTCCTTCTTCCTCACCGGTGTCCCTCTCCCAGGCCACTGAAAAGGGAGGTCCTTACGTACAAGGTTAAGTCAGTGAAAATATCAGCACAGGTCCAGGAGGGGGTCTCAATGCTCCACCCTTTACAGGAGTTCCTAGCAATGGCCACTGAGTGATATGTGTACAGCCCCATATAGCCATGCACACGTGGCCAACATGAACAGGACCCAGGGAATCAGTAACAAAAACAATGCTGGGGGTGGAAACCGGATGTGAGGAACCAGTGGAAGCTAGAAGGAGGTTCATGGGTGGATAGATACAATAAAAAGTAAATTGTAAAAAAATAAACTAAAAGTTTCAAAGAAAACATAAAATATTGTTTAAAATTTAGTCTAATGCCACTATAATCTTCAAAAGCACTTTTGCCAAGCCTCATTGCTACTATTTTGACACAATCACATTTCCTTTATTAGTTTTGTACAAGGAAATAGTCTAGACAATTTAATATCAAAATTTTCATGTAAATTTTCTCCAGATATAACCCCTATTGTCACTTAAAACACTGTTTTGACAATTTGAGTCACATACAGGAAAATCATAGCCAAATACATTAGTGGAGGGAAAATCTGCCTATATCTCTAATCCTTGAAAAAAGACCTGCTAGGCTATGTGCCCATCTGCTCTGTCCCTCACTTTACTTCAGGAGTCTGCATGCTGAACTTAGTCTGCTTGACTGTGTTCAAGCTGTTTGTCTTTCACGAAAGGCTTGTCTGTCCCTGCTTAGCTGTGATCCATAAGCATTAACTTTACTATATGATAATAGTAAGGTGCCAGTGTACTTCTCTGAAATATATATTTTTTATTTAATGCTTAAACACAGTGCAGTAAGCCCACTCAACTGAAGTTGGACTTACATATTTTATTTAAATTTCTTATTTTCTGAAAATGTCATGTACAAGTACTGCATTTTTATCATTTCTGTGCCTTTTTCTCCTTCCTCCAGTTCTTAGCATACATCATTACTCACCTCTCTTAAAGGTTAGTTAACAAAAGACTAGTAATTTTAAACATGGTATGGGTTCTCTTCAGACGATAAAACAATTAATACTTTTCATAAAATTCTGTATTTTTACTATTGATTCACTATTGCTTTGGGCCCATTAGACAATACATGTTTCAAAGCTGCTTTAAAATATTACCTCCCTGACTTTCAGTCAATAGATAAATGTCAGAAACCCTTTTAGGATGAACTGTGGGCTTGCCAAGGCTCTGTGTAGCAGAGTTAAAGTGGTGTTCTGCCTGACCTTATGGAAGAAAGCTGGATGTCAACAGCAGCCGAGATGACAAGAATACAAATTCAGGGCAACTAAACAACACACCATTGAATGGCATTTGAGTAAAGGAAGAAATCAAGAAGGAAACTTTAAAATTCATAGAATTAAATTAAAATGAACACACAATATACCAAAATCTATGGGACACAATGAAGGTAGTCCTAAGATGATATTATAGTACTAAGTGCCTACATCCCCCCCAAAAAAATTAAGAGCTCTCATATCAAAAAACTTAATGATAAACTTAAAGGCCTTGGGGGGAGGGGTAAATATACAAACAATAGCCAGAAACAGATTGAAAGAGATAATCCAAACCAGAGCTGAAATTGTGAAACAGAAACAAAAATTACAAATAATCAATGAAATGGAGTTAGTTCTTTTTTAAAAAATGAGGTACTTTTAGCTGAATTAACCAAGAAACTAAAATAAATGGCTGAATTTCTAGATCATATGGCTTACTACAGGTAAATCAAGGTGGGGTAAATAATTTTAACAGACACATAACAAATGAGATAGAAGTGGGTAATAAAACATATTGCCAGTAAAAAGAACTGCAGAGCCAGATGAATTCAGCACAAAATTCTACTAGACTGTCAAAGAAGATCTAAAACAAGTACAAGTATACCTCAGTTACCCTGATATCAAACCATATGAAGACCAAATAAAAATGAAATTGCAGGTAAATCTCTTTGATGAACATTGATGCAAAAATTTTTCAATAAAATATTTTTAAACTGAATTCAAGAACCCATCTTTATGTTTTCCACCCTGATCAATATTGTGAAAATGGATATCCTACCAAAACCAACCTACAAATTCAATGCAAACTCCATCAAAGTTTCAATGTAATTCCTCACAGGAAAAAAATTCTCAAAATTCATAGAAAAGACAAAGACCCAGGATTAACAAAACAATACTGAACAATGAAAACACTGCTGGAGGCATCGCCTGAACATGGTACTGGCATAAACACAGACACACACACACAAACACACACACACACACACACACACACACACACACACACACACTGATCAATGGAATTGAACTGAGCACCCAAATACACAGTCACACTTTTAGAGCCACATGAAGTTTGACAAAGGGACCAAATATACACATTGTAGAAAACTTCAGCAAATGGTCCCAGGCAAGCTGGATATCTGAATGTTGGAGAATGAAAACACATCCTCATCGTCCACTCTGCCTAAAGCAATTGCAAATGGATCAAGAACATAAGCATGAGACCTAATACCCTGAACCATTAAAAAGCAGATGCTCTTGAACTTTGAGACGCAGGAAAGGGATTTCTCACCAGAATGTCAGCAGGCATTACAGTCACTAAGTGACAAATAAGAATGTCACAGAATTTAAAAAATAATAATAAAAACTTATGTACAATAAAAAATACAATCATTTCAGGATTATCGCCTAAACAGTAGAAAAAATCCTTACCAGCTACATTTCTGAGAGAGTTAGTGTATAGAACAACAAAAACTTACAAGAAAACAGACAAACAAAATTTAAAATGGGGGCATGAAATTAAACAGAAGGGTCTCAAAAGAAATAAAAATGGTTAAGATATATTTGTAGGTCTGTTTACTGCTTTGACGATTTTACCTTACCCCAGTCAGTACAGAAAAGTTGTTTTTTTAATTAATTAATTTTTTGTTAGTTATAATTTATTCATTTTATATCCCAGGTGTAGCCCCCTCCCTTGTCCCCTCCTAATTCTACCCTCCCTCTTCTCCCATGCCCCCACCCACTGATAGGGGAGGTCTCCTCTCCTTCCATCTGATCCTAGCCTGTCAGGACTGGCTGCATTATATTCCTCTGCGGCCTAGTAAGGTTGCTCCCCACTCAGGGGAGGTGATCAAAGAGCCAGCCACTGAATTCATGTCAGAGACAGTTCCTGTTTCTCTTACTACGGAGCTCACTTGGAGACTAAGCTTGCCATGGGGTTCCCCTTTCTTCACATCCTCTCCAGCATGTATTATTGCATAAGTTTTGGTCTTAGCCATTCTGATGGGTATAAAGTATTTTAGATTTTAAAATATATACTCCTTGTCATAAAACTCAATAAACAGTTTCTATCAAGCAAAAATGTCAGTGAATAAAACATGCAGAAAAGTCCTGAGCTTCTGGAATATGCTCTAGACAATGGATGGATGGATGGATGGATGGATGGATGGTAGGAAGGAAGGAAAAGACTTGGTCTTAGGCTTTAAAACAGATAACAAGGAAAGGCTATATTATGGCCTGATAACATTGCTTTAAAATATGGAATACTACTCAGCAATTAAAAACGAGGAAATTATGAAATTTGCAGGCAAATGGTGGGACCTAGAAAAGATCATCCTGAGTGATGTATCCCAAAGGCAGAAAGACACACATGGTATATACTCACTCATATAGACCTATAAGATAGGATAAACATACTGAAATCTATCCACCTAATGAAGATAAACAAGAAAGAGGACCCAGGGTTAAGATGACCAATCCTCACTTAGCAAGACAAATGGGATGGACATTGGATGTAGGAGCAAGTAACAGGACAGGAGCCTACCACAGAGGGCCTCTGAATGACTCTACCTAGCAGTGTATCAAAGCAGATACTAAGACTCATAACCAAACCTTCAGCAGAGTACAGGGAATCATAAAAAAAGGGGGGAGTTAATATGACCTGGAGAGGACAGGAGCGCCACAAGGACCAAATATATCTGGGCACAGGGGTCTTTTATGAGACTGTTTCTCCAAACAAGGACCATGTATGAATGTAACCCTAGAACCTCTGCTCAGTATCCAAGTGGGTACCCTAATAAGGGGAACAGGGACTGTTTCTGACATGAACTCAATGGTGGGCTCTTTGACCTCCCCCTCCCCCCCTCAGGGAGGAGCAGCCCTGCTAGGCCACAGAGGAGGACTTTGCAGCCAGTCCTGAAGATACCTGATAAACCAGTATCAGATGAAAGGGGAGGAGGTCCTCCCCTATCAGTGGACTTGGAAAGGGGCAGGGAGGAGATGAGGGAGGGAGGGTAGGACTGGGAGGGAAAGAGGTAGCAGGATACAGCAGGGATACAAAGTAAACAAACTGTAACTAATATTAAAAAAATTAAAAAATGGAAAAGAAAAAAATAGTATACAAAGTTGAGTCTTACAAACTATTTTATGTATCGATAAGACTTAGAAATGTTTCTCAAACCTTAATATGTACCAGAGTCACTGCTGTAATTCAGGTTGTTGGACCACTCCCCAGGTTCCTGATAGAGTACAGCTCAAGTGGAGCCCTGAGGCTTCATATCTTTAAGAGGAAGGTGGTAGTGCTTGTAATATGAGCCACACTTTGGGAAGCGCTCAAAGACATAGTTTTCTTAAACATGGCCAATCAATGCAGGATGAAAATGTTATGCTGCCATCTTTTCCCTCCTCTCAGCATGGGCCGAAAATCTGCTCATAAGGGTGGACTGAAGACTAGTTTCAAGTCATTTTTCTTCCCTAAGCAAACGATTCACAGAAATGACTTTCTAAGAAGAAAAGCTTTCATTACTTGCTCTGAGAAGGTGCCTGCCTCTCATGTCCATGCACAGGACATGAAGATAAACTAAAACAGCACCCTAGTCACTTGAGGGGCAGATTCTTAAGGCTTGACCATCCCATCCTGATGGCTCAAGAATGAACACAATGGAATACTACTCAGCTATTAAAAGCAAGGAAATCATTTCCAGGCAAATGGTGGGATCTAGAAATCATCATCCCGAGTGAGCTATTCCAGAAGCAGAAACACACACATGGTATATACTCACTTATAAGTGGACATTAGAAATATAATATAGGATAATCATACTAAAATCTGTATACCTAAATAAGCTAATCAAAGAGGACCCTGGGTAAGATGCTCAATCTTCATTCAGAAAGGCAAACGGGATAGATATCGGAAGAGGGAGAAAACAGAACAAGAGCCTACCACTGAGGACTTCTGAAAGACTCTATCCAGCAGAGTATCAAAGCAGAGGCTGAGACTCATAGTCAAACTTTGGGCAGAGTGCAGGGAATCTTATGAAAGAAGGGGGAGATAGAAAGACCTGGAGGGGACAGGAGCTCCACAAGGAGAACAACAGAACCAAAAAATCTGGGAACAGGGGTCTTTTCTGAGACTGATACTCCAAACAAGGACCATGCATGAAGATAACCTAGAACCTCTGCACAGATGTAGGCCGTGGCAGTTCAGTATCCAATTGAGTGCCCTAGTAATGGGAACAAGGACTGTCTCTGACATGAACTCAGTGGCTGGCCCTTTGATCACCTCCCCCTGATGGGGGAGCAGCCTTATCAGTCCACAGAGGAAGATGATGAAGCAAGTCCTGATGAGACTGATAGACTAGGGTCAGATGGAAAGGGAGGAGGACCTCCCCTATCATTGGGCTGAGGGAGGGGCATAGAAGTAGAGGGAGGGAGGGTGGGATTGAGAGGAAAAGGGGGTGGGTCCTACAGCTGGAGTACAAAGTGAATAAACTGTAATTAATAAAAATAAAATCAAAAGAATGAATACAAATGGAGGGTGCTATAAAGGGACACCAAAAATTAACACAGAGCTTAACCATTGAGCCATTTCTCCAGCCAAGTTAAATCTTTGCATTACTTAAGTGTTAAGGTTTGTTTATTTAGGGTTTTTCATTTAGAGGAGTTCCCTCCTCTCAGGTGTCTCTAGTTTGTATCAAGCTGGCAAAATACTAATTGGTAACATAACCTAAGGAAGAATCTTTTAAGAATGAAAAAAGAGGAGAAAAAAAAAAACCTTTGCATAAATTGTGTGCTCTCTGAACCCTTCTTTTCCTCTTTTGACTGTTTCCCTTACAAATCCATCTCTAAAAATGAACCCATAAGATGCCCAGGCTATGACTTTGGAAAAGGAGAGCACACCCATATGCCGCGCCCACATTTGTTCATAGAGGTTCCAGCTAAGCTAGCCATGGAGAGGAATAGAGATTGTGGTGCAAACTCCAGCTAGGAAGAAATTAACTCCACTTCATGGAACACAGTCCCTAAGAAATTCCATAATGAAGAACTCATACAGTGCTCCGCGGTGTAGCACTGAACATGACTGTGACCACCCAGGATCTATATTTCTTAATTCTGCATCTATGGTCACTGGAAAAGAACCTTCAAAATAAAATTTGCTAGTGTAATATTTCAAAAATATTTTAATTATTAATATCCCTGAAATTTTAGAAGAGCAGATTTTTTTATTATTTTAAAAAGATTTACTTGTATAAAATTATGAAAACTATTTTTAATTTAGAATAAATGTATCATGAAACATGGATTTGCTGGTGTCAAATAAATCCTAAACAGAAAACGCATCATCATGAGTTGGCTATTTGAGTATGTGAATGTGAGCGAGTGTGTGTGTGTGTGTGTGTGTGTGTGTGTGTGTATGTGTGTGTGTGCGCGCGCGCATGCGCATGAGTGTTTGTGTATGTGTGTGAGCCTGTGTGTGTGCGCGTGCACGCATGTGCACCTATTATGCGAATGGATGGGCGTGTGTGTGGAGAGGCAGAAGTCAGCGTCTGGTGTCTTACAATGGTTCTCCGCCTTCTTCGGAGACAAGGCCAGGAAGCAGAATGGATCCTCCTGCCTCTGCACGGCTGCTGCTGTTTTCTGCCCCCAGAATGGGGACTGGAGACTGGAAACTCCGGTACCCGTTTCCAGTGCACCTAGCCTTTAGAAGCGTTTTTGTTGAAAAACTTCAGTAATGAAAAGATTTAACTGGGCAGACATGGTGGCTCAATGGCTAATAGTGCCCACTGCTCTTGCAGAGGACCCAAGTTTAGTCCGCAGCACCCGTGTTGGATGGCTCACGGCCACCCATGTAATTCCAGCTCCATGGAGATCCCAAGTCTCCAAGCTCCACAGACATCTGCACTCACACATACATTCTGCATACAGACACACGTACTTATAATTAGAAAAATAAAGTTAAAATCTAGAAGAGAGAGAGATGGGTTATTTTTATACCAGCTATGAGAAAACTCCCATCCCCAGAAGCAAGCCCTACCTGTATTCCGGGTCGCTGTCGTAGGCAGAGTCTCTGTATAAGAGACTCCTCTTCATTTCCAGCTCGTCGTCTTTCTCCGGGTCTCTCTCATCCTGAAAAAGTAAAATATTTCCATTAATTTTCTCATTGCTTCCAACACAGTGGCTGTGGGTCTGCGGGAAATGTCCCCCTCTGGCCTCACTGCCCGAGACTGGCAAGTGCGTGGATAGCTCAGGAAAGAAATAAACTGCTGACAATGCTTTGTCTCTCAATAACATTTTAAAAATTACTTATTTTGAGATAATAGTATAATTACATCATTCCCCTTCCTTTGCTCCCTCCAAATCCTCCCACATACCCCTCCTTGCTTCTATTTCAAAACAATAGCCTCTTTTTTCATTAATTATTGCTACATGCATATATGAACTATAACCTTCTCAATCTCTTTAATTCATCTTCATAGACTTGTTTCTAATATTCTGACTGAGGATAAACAGGGATTTCTCACAATTCAATGTAGCCTAAAACCAGGTAACTCCCTTTTGGATCAGTTATTAGCCCTTGATGCTACCTGCTTAAAAAAATAAGGAAAACAAAACCCTTTCTTCATAAAAAAAAAAACTCAAAAACATTTTAAACATATCCAGAACTTATAAGCAGTGCACCTAGAGGCAGGCCACCATCACCACTAACAAAAAAAAAGACAAAGATGCAGATACAAATACATTCTAAATAATAAATTTTATGAGATGGACACTTGAAATTATTATTTGTGATTAATATGATCAAGAAAATTGATGGGAAGTTGGACAAATTGGACTTGTATTTTAAGAGAATATTAGAAACAAGTCTATGAAGATGAATTAAAGAGATGGAGAATTAAAAAGTCACTGAAATAAGCAACTTAACAGGTAAGTGTAATCGCACATTAGAATCAGTAGAAATCAAAGTTAATTAACTTTCAAAATAAATAGTCATAATAAAAGTAGAATGATAAATACAGATGAAGAGACCAGGGCTGGAGACATGGCTCAGTAGTAGTTAAGAGCACTGGCTGCTCTTTCAGAGGACCTACTAGGTTCAGTTCCCAAGGACTCACAGGCGGTTCACAAGTATATGAAATTTCCGTTCCTGGGGACTGGTACCCCACTGTGCCTTCAGCAGGCACCAGGCACACAATAGAACACAGACAGACATGAGGGCAAAACACTCATATAAAAATATTAAAAAATAATGTTGAAACTTTAAAAGGAGAGCTCAAGAAACTTGTAAGACGGAATCAAAAGATCTAAAAAATATAGTTCAATATTAAAAAAGTAAGAAATGACAAAATTCTTGTAAGACATAATGGCCAGACCTAATGGGCTAGAATCTTAAATAAGCTCTGGCTGAGCATGCTGAGCTGGTTAGCAACTGACCTCACAGCTTTGACAACACGGATAAAAAAAATCAAGAATTCAGAATCAAAAGCAATATCCCTAATCCAAAATAGAAAATGCTTCAAGATTCAAATTATTTGAGTGTCACAAATGGAAAATTCCACACTGGTCTCATAAAATGGGTCAAGTTTAAAAGTACCTAAATTATTTTAGCTGTTAGGTATATTAGGGTCATGGGAAACAAACGAAGTTTATGTTCAGTTCCTCTCATCCTTCCCCTCTCCACTCCTCTGCTCTTTTCGTTTCTTCTCTCCCTTTCTCCATATATAGATATATATCTGTGTGTTTATCTTATGCATATTAATGTACATATATATGTATACACACAGTTTTCAATGCATGCATATCCAAATTCCTTGTCCCTCAACAAGTCCTTCTTAGGTACATTTAAAACTAGTATGTATACATCAAAAGATATACACAAAACTCTGTACAACAGTAAGTGTGCATTAGCCTCAAATTAGAAATACGGTAGACTGACTGTGGTATTCTTTGTGAAAGGCCAAGTCCCATTTCTGCTCTTGTGCGTATAGACGGCATCTAAATGAATGAATATATGTAGATCTAGGGCAGTGTAATTTGCTGAATATATCTACATAAAAAAGTGAAGACATGCATGTTCCACGTGTTCCACACATGATGATCAGCTAAAGAAGCTAAAGAAACCAGACATGGGGTTATCATGATATGTGATTTTGAATTTTCAAAATCATATCAAATGAGTCTAGATAGTGTCATATATTAGAATACTGTCATGCCTAGTGGAAAGAAGGGCCCTGGAGCAGTATCCGGGATAACTGGGGGTACCGATAAGGTTGTAAGTGATCTGGATGCTGTTTTACTCATAGTACACTTAGTTAAAATTCAGTCTATTGCACAAAGGAGTAAAATACATAATATTGAGGTGAAAACTGAAAATGGACGGTGAAGTGAAGTGAGAAGACAGCCTGTCAGCAAGGAGGCACCTTAGTTAACAGAGGTGGCTGGTGTCACGCTACCTGTGAAGGGAAATTCAGGGTAGGGGTCCCACATGGCATCCACCTGAGAGCTTCAAAAGTCTCGGAAGCTCAGTGCATCAGCTAAGGGCAGCCACCAGAAGCAGATGTTTTCGGCTCCTCCAGTGGTGAGCACAAAGAATTTACAGGAAATTCCACAGGAGTTACAGACACCTGGGAACTATTAACTCTCAAAACTAATGGTCAAAGTTGTCTTTCTTCATAAAACCACACAGTAAAATAACACCTGTGAACAGAATCCAAACTAAACAGAGAAATAGAAGAAAAAAAAATCTATGCAAATGGAAAAGAGAAAATAAGCCAAGATATCCGAGAAACTATGCTGTGTATTTTGGGAGAAAAATAATGATTTAAAAAAAAGGATTCTCAAGCTACACATTTTACGAATTACATTAAGACATGTTTCATTTCTAAAAATTCAGAAAAGTATTGATTAAAATATAAGTGGTAGAGTGCTTACCTATACGTGAGAGGCCCAAAAAGCTTATGAAAAAATAACTTCACAAAGATTGTGATTTGGTTAGACAGGAAAAGACACCAATCAAAAAACTAGACAACATCCTTTTGGTCTTAAGGTCTGCACTGCAACTGAGGCTGCTTCTTCAGTAATGCCGCCTGGCCTCTCAGCAGGGACACTGACCCTGCCAACGGTGGCAAGCCTCAGTTGCTCTCCAAGGCCCCTTCATACCTTCCAATCCAACAGCAGGTGGAAGGTTCTTAAAAATCATGTGCCAAGTTCAGCTGTCAGCCTGGGATGCAGCTTTGATGTTCTCTGGAACACAGGTTCTGTATGCTAAATTCTGAGGAAAACTCCCAAATTTCACATCAGTGATGCTAGTCCCTTTTTAATCACAGCTAGTTATTATTATTATTATTATTATTATTATTATTATTATTATTATTATT